ATGCCAGAAACTGGTAATCCAGTCACCAGTCTTTGGCGGTACTGCCGTTTTACGTTAATAAAATCATAACTGCCGGCTCTGAGTTAGAATGCACGGCGTCAATAATGTTGACTCAAATCCTGCAGCATTTTCTAAGCGAACATAACCGTATCTATCCTAGAATAGAAGCAACATATTGTGTGATTTCAAATACTGACCGTTTGCATAAGTGCCACACGGGGCCTACTTGATTGTTCAGCTACGCTTATAACACCTCCGCCAGCAATTAGCAGCAGCTGTTACGGAATACTTCACAAAATAGAAGGCATTTGAGAATCTACAATAAAAGATGATCGACTGGAGTTCGCGACGCGCGCCTACTAGGCCATTTGCGTTGGATTTACCCATGAACTGATATTAACGTTTTTTGGGAAAGCTGTATCTACGTATGGAAAAGTTGTCCTCTAGATACGTAATATGATTCTTCAGTGACAAGTATAATTCTGAAAGTGCAAATGTCCTAACGTCTAACAGTACTGTCCTTCTTTAAAGCACTTAAAGAACTCAGAGCCGACAGTGATCTCGTTGTCTTGCTGCCGGACAAGGGGCAGTCCAATGTCGTATTGGACAGGACAGACTACATTCACAAAGCTTAAACTTTGTTAGACGATCGTCAGTCCGACGTCCCATGCAAAGTTAACCCCATGAAAACGCTTGCACGCGAGATAAACACAACGCTGCTGGCAATGGAGAACTCAGTACTGTCCTTTTCAAATTTGACTGTCAAGCGCACCAATGTTAGATAAAATCCCACCCTCTCTTCTAAAATGAGTCAGATCTTAAAAACCATTTCCAAGTTGACTTTATATGTTCTCGGCGGTGTCAAAATAACAAATGAAGACTTAGTCAAAGATTAGGAATTAATTAATGACAAGATTATTAGCACACATCAGGATTGGCTAACGAGGGAATGTAAACAAGAAAGGGTCATTCAGTGCTGTGCTAGTCATAGTGATGGTGCATAGCTACGATCCGGGCTTCGCGTTCCAGTACAATTTGTCATCTGCTTCCGATGTAGACGTTCGCTATGCGCTGCACGTTAACTTTTTTCGTTTTCTATGCACGCCAAGCGTTGTTCAGGACACAGTTTCTGATTGGCAGAAATCAAAGCGAGAGGGCGCGGCAGGTTCGCTTGGTGCCTCTCCTGCGGATCGTCGTACATTAAACAAGCGCATATTGTATTTTCCGATTCAGTTTGCGCACAATATGCTTTCCTAAATGGTGAAGTATTTGTTTCTTATTAACAGGGAGGTTGGACAAGGACCAGAAATCGCTGCGGCGGCAATGGATTGCAGAAGAATTATTAAATGCAGCACAATCGCCATTTTGTTTGTACTTCTGATGCTGTCTTATCATTTTGTGGAGATCTCAATAAGGCCTCTGAACTTTGGTTTCAAAATAAACCTTTCGCACAGGCGGGAGCGACAGCTCAAACTGCACAGCTATGTAGTGGACAGCGGTCACACAGAAGTAAAGCGTCTAAACCTTCTGAATCTGGAGAACATAAGTTGGCCGGAAAGGGAATTTCTACCTATTCCAATGGGTGCGCCAGGAAGTCGCCAACTGCCTCTGGAAGCAAAGTTCAGTCGTGGTCAAATGCACACCTTGTGGAAACTCTTTCGAACATTTATGAATGCAATGGAGGAGCTCGGTTTCAGTGACAGGTGGATGATTTATGGCGGCACCCTACTCGGCTCATTTCGACATCATGACATTATCCCCTGGGATGATGACCTTGATATTCTCGTGGATGTATCTGCAAGACCAATGCTAAGGGAAAGGATGCGCAGGCTGAAACCCAACATCCTCATTCATGAGGGCGGGCAGAGGGACAAGATATACGCAAAGCTAATTGAACCGAGTAATTCATCTGAGGACATTTACGGCAGTCGCAAACTGAGTGTCTACAGCTGGGGCTGGCCCTTCCTGGACGTCAGTTACTTCTCCTCTAATGCGACTCACATTGAAGAGCTTGCATGGTCCTATGGTCGGTCTTATAGCTATGCAAAATCGGATGTGTTCCCCCTATTACTGAGACCATTTTATAAGTACTGGGTTCCGACGCCAAGAAACACATTTGCTGTTCTGCTGCAGACATACCCGGGAAATGACCTTTGCTCGGCTTCCGGCTATTCCCACATCTTTGAGAATGGAACCAGCAGTCGGACAGTGCCATGCAAAGAGCTAGCGAGCAGGTATGCTTTCGTTGAACACGCATCGCTCGAAGACAATGTCCAGGACAAGAATGGAAGACAGGATGATTTGGATTGGGCCCGCGAGCGGCTGGTTCAAGGTGGCAAGGTCATACACGAACTTCGTATGGTTGCCCCTCGGCGAGAATCCAATGTGGACACCTATAGATTGCAAGCAAAACCCAAGACGGGAGCACCCTTTCAGGTTTAACTACGCTATTTTTTTGCATTTTTTAAAGAAAACTCGGCAGCCAGATGTGATTTGACTACTTGTTACTGTAAAACAAAACTTGATAAGCATCGAAGTTTTGCAAATATGTTTTGCCAGCACAAAGATGAAAGCATAGAAACAGTAATGCATTTTATATCATTGCAAGATTATTCGTCGGAAGTTTTCATGACTAATTTAATCTACTGAGGCTTATTTGCACGATTGAGGGTGATTGCAGCTGTTGCATAATGAACATTAGATGTGAAACATTTAGTCAATTTGCAATGTTCGAATGAACCATAGTCCACACAGTGTCTACACAAGTTGCCTGAGAAGGGAACATCGTTGTGAAGCAAAATTGCAGTGCATCTTTATGCTGTCTCCGTTTCGTGCGGACGAAATTGTGCAGGTTTCCTGGAATCTGTTTAGTAGCGTAAATACTGAGCAAAAAGGTGAACGGTGGCAAACAAACGAATAACATTGATCTGTAAGAGCGATGAGTAGAAGAAGATCATAGATATATAAATAATTAAGTCAGCCTGGTAGGCATTCTGATGAAATGTAGATTATTGCATAGGAAATCTTGCTTGGGCAGTCATCTTGCTATTCGGTATTGGTGGATTACATGTGAGTGGTAAATTAAGGTGAGTAAAGTCGATCCGAGTGCGATTACCATCATGGAGCAAAGCGGGTCGTTGTAGCTCAAGTGGTAGAGTGTTGGCTGCTTAAAGGCCTCTCGCCGAAATTTGGGTCAAAATTGGGTCAACTAAATTCAGAAAATCTCCCTAAACCCCTGAATAAGTTAGTCAGCTTAGTAGTCATTGTAGTGGAATCTAGATGATCGCTTAGGAAATCTTGCTTGGGCAGTCAGTTTGCTATTCGGTATTGGTGGATTACATGTGAGTGGTAAAGTTGGGCGGGTAATATCGATCCGAGTTTGCTTAGATTCACGGGGCAAGGCATGGCGTTGTCACTCAAGCGGTAGAGCGTTGGCTGCGTAAAGGCATTCACTGCTATGCGGGTTCATCCTGCCGACGCCGCGAGATTTTTTTTCAGAATTGGGTCAACTAGATTATGCGGAGGATCATAAATAAGTGCATAGCACGTTGGGCTCGTTGGAGTGCATTTGAGTACAGTATGCTTCAAACTATCTGAAATAAGGTGTGACCTGAAATTTCGAAGAGGCGGCAAATGTTTGCTGCAGAGACAAAGGTATTTGTTAACCTTCGGTTCGTGCAGGATGTGAATGCTCCTTCGCGCTTTGTCTCCGAGTTTAGGATATACAGAAGACGCAAAATTGGCTTCCGGTACACTCTAAAGTAGCTTATTCGGCTATGCTAACTGGCATCATGGGCTCTGAAAAGAACCCATGAAATCGAATTTACCACCACCGTATATGATATCATTACCGTTGACCGCTCGACCATTGGTTTCAATAAGATTCACCGAATGCGCAAAATGGATTGGTGCAGGGACGACGATTTGCGCGTGATTTAATTTAAAGTGGTACTTAACTTATGAATCATCTACCACATTCTCTGCCCCCATCCACCTGACGCTGGTGTCAGGGCTGAGTCAAGAAAACCGAAGGAGATCGGGTGCAAGGCTGCCCTCCTGTGCGTGCCACAACAATGCACGTGA